ATTAAATTCTTTTACTGAAAGAATTTTTTTCTCAAAAAATCAAACACTTATCACAAAAATCATCAATATTCATATTTAATTAACATTCCAAACGCTCTCGTGAGATTTAGCTCTGTAACATTCTTCTTTTCTGCTTTGTATTTTGCTTTCGCTGTTAAGTATTCCAAATATTTATCGCTCTTAAAATGCGCTTCGCTTGTTCAGTTGGCTCGAAAAATGTGGCATTCACAGTTCTTGGACCTTCTCAATAAATATACGTTCTCTGAAATATACGTTCTCTGATATAAGTGTGTATAAATTTCCAAATAATTTGCAACAATCTCCAGATACAGAACAAGCATAAAACCTAATGTATACTATGCACTTATCTTAGCTTTAAATTTTAACGTTTTCGCAGCCCCTATGTTTATCTTCATCTAACAGCTCATTTACAGCGTGTTCACTACTGTTAGTGATAGCAGAGCGTAATTTGCCGGCGCAACTATGTAGTATAGTTTCAGGCGCTGGTATGATAGATTCTATGTGAACTCTTTGGCCAGATAAAATACCGGAAATGATATCGTTTTCTTTTCTCGAAAAAAGGCTGCACTTATTCTGCCTTGTGTCAGTGCTGTCACATTTTCATGTTCTTTTCTCAGCCCTTTCACAAGGCGTCGTGTTCTTTTCTCAGCAGGTTGCGCTCTGATCCGGCGAAAGTGCCTTTTCTGCCCTCAAATAAACGCGAGGGTGAGAGTTGCATGGTTGATTTTTAATTTAATCTTGTAAAAATGCAATTATTTGCCCTATCAGAAATAAGTGTTTTGCTTTAAAATTGTTAAAGACTTACAGGCCAAGTGAATAATTCAGCTTTATTAAGTTCTATAAATAAATTGTGGTGGAGTAGTATATTTTCTGTTTCATTCCCATAAAAAGAACGGAACATTTTCTCAGGTTTCAGGGCAACGCAAAGCAAGAGTTCCCATATAAAAGGGCAGAACTTTTTTTGAGAAAAGAAAACGCTATTAGTTTCAATGAATCAGCAGTTATCCCTGTGTTATTTAATTCGTGACACATTGGGCGCGTTCATAAGACTTACATAGCTATTGTCTAAACGTTGGCTGTTTGTCCTAGAAACGCTCAGTTCAAAAGTTGCTAACTTTCCGCCATTTTTTCCATTGCACAATTTTTTAGCTACCTGAACTCAACGTGTTTTGCCCAGCCTAAAAAGGTTTTCGCACGAGGCGATTTTGCGTTCAACTTTTGCTTTCAACTCACGCAGGATTGCACGAAAAAAAGTTGAATGGCTATATCGAGCCCTAACCGCCAAAATAACGCAAACGACATTTGTTTCCAAATTTTATTTTTGATGCAGAAATGCATCTAGATGCTCAAGGAATATTTCTGCATCAAAAAGAAAATTTTGAAAAAATGTCGCTTACGTTATTTTGGCGGTTGGGGTTCGATATGTTGGCTGGCGACCAACTTTGTTGAAAGCGATTAGTTGAAAGGCCGTTCAACCTAAAGTAGAATGCAAAGTTGAACAATGCAAACGCCTTTTTATGACGAATATTTTGATATTCTTTTATATTTTGATATTTTTAGCCATTCAATTTGTTTCGTGCAACCCTGCGTGAGTTGAACGCAAAAGTTGCCTGAAAAATCGCCTTGTGCGAAAGCGCTATAAACAGATAATGGAAAAATGGTAGGTCATATTATGTCCGGGTTATGTAAAATAAAACTAAAATGTTCAAAATAAAATAATGTAAAAAAAAATATTTTTTAAAAACTAGCTTTTATTTAACATGTACAATCAAAGGAATCAAATAAAATAATGTAAAAATGCATAATTCTTTATACATACATATATAAAAAAATTTTCAAATTTTATTTTGTTATGTACTTTCTTTATGTACAATGTGCATGTCCAATTAAAGATATTAAAAAATACATACAGTGGTAAAAAAATTATAGTCAAACCACTTTTTGCCAAGTTTTAACGTATCATTTTCGTTGTTATTTAATTTTGGTTATTTCTATCATAAAAATGTAGTTCATTCTTTAACAAAACCCGTGTAAATCCAAGTTTCTAAATTTGTGCAATGTTAAAAAAAAATCAACAAAGTCTCGTACAAATTTCGAGGTTTTTTAAAACTTCTAAAAAATCAATCGTAGTTTTTAGCCAATTGAAACTTGTACTTTATTCTACTAGAATTCAATGGGCTAAAAAACTGCATACTCAGGATCTAATTAAAAACTCGAAATTCTTACGAAAATTTGTTTATTTTTTTTTTTTAGTTGCATACATATTCAAGGCAGTGGCACTCGATTGGTACATTTGTACAGATTGCTATATTTTTATATTGGACTATTGGTAAAAAATAAAAAAAGGGAACTTTTTTTTTGTTGTCAAAAGATTGGTACCATACAGTGATGTTATACTGAAAAATTTCAACAAATTAATTTTCGTGATTGGGATAAAAAAAAATATTTGGGATACGATTTACACCAAAATTTTGGCAAATACCCAATCATGTGACACTGCCTTTAAGCTTGTATTTATACGGATGTTGTTAAAGAATGAACTATAAAAAACTAACCAAAATTAAATAACAACAAAAATAATAATTTAGAACTTGTGAAAATTTGGTGCGGCTTTAATTTTTTCGACTACTGTAGATTAGACTGCATCACTAAAAATGTTGCGGTTTTTCCGGCGGGATTACCAAACCTAGTATATTTTATGACTTCTACCAAAATATTTCGGAAAAATATTAAGATTTACGTGAGCTCGACCGGTTTGAAAATACCTCTAAAAATGGAATTTTTATGAATAATCCCCTCAGATGACAAAACAGTTTAAGCTTAAAAAATCTACATAAAAATATTAAAAAATTGTATAAACGGAATCATAATAATGAGGTTTTTGATGCTGTTTTTTAACTTTTTTTTAAAGATTTGTGTAAAGAAAACTTGAACAACTGCTCCAAAACTTTACAGATATAGACTTATGAGATATCAGAGGTAAGGTATTTTCTCACCCTTTTTATTTCTTTGCAAAAAAACCTCATTCACGTCCCAATTTTTTCTTTATTCAATACCAACACATCTTAATTCAACATGGAATGACACTCGTTTATCTCACCTTTCTCTTTCATACTTTGAATGAGCTTATTCGCAAAGAAATTAAAAGGGTGAGAAAATACCTTACCAATGATACCTCATAACTCTAAATTGGTAAGGTTTTGGCTGGGTTATTGAAGTTTTTCTTAAACCAGTCTTTGAAAAAAGTGCAAATACAGCATCAAAAATCTCATTACTATGATTCCGTAGAATATTTTTTTAAAGTATTTTTATGCAAACTTTTTAAGCTTAAACTGTTCAGTCAACTGAGGTAATTTATTCAAAAAATTAAAAAAAAACCTGTTTTAATTAATAAAGAACTCAATTTTTGGAGTTACTTTCAAATCGGTCCAGCTCACGTAAATCTTAGCATTTTTGCGAGATATTTTAGCGGAAGTCCTAAAATATAATAGATTTAATAATTCCAGTGGAGTATGGGGAGTGATGCAGTCTACTGTACATAAGTTGACTATGATTACTCGGCCGTCTATCATAGTAGCACAATGCCACTAAGTGAATTTTAAAATTTTCAGGCACTTGCCTCATGCGATTGTCGATTATATTGTTGTTTGTGTGAAATATTTTATTTTTATTTTTATCAAAGTATGTTGAAATAAAAGTGAAAAAAATAAAAAATATTTTGCAACGCAGTTTGCATGTTTAAGATTGCGTGATGTGTCACAGCGGATTTAGTCCTCAAGGCACCCGTTATACTGATCATTGAGAGCCGGTAACCACTCTCCAGTTTTTTTAAGGTAGGTTTTATTTTTCGTTGCTATCTATACACTATAAATACCCAATGTGAAAGAGCGGGTGCAAGTTAGCTACAATTTTAAGTATGTTAATTTTAGAAAAATTACTACTATCTGAAAAATCCAGTTTAAAACAGTTTAAAATTCGTGAAAAAAGTACCAAATAGTCACTTTTGGCCGTGTGGGTAACTTTAAGGTTGGCTGTATTAAAAACAGACTACGCTATTCGGTTTAGAGCGCGATTATCCACGAACATGTACGTAGCGTACCATTGAAGTGCGTTGAAACATATCAAATTTGCTGTTGGTAGAGAGAGAGAGAAGCAACGTCAACGGCAAGGTCATGCGGTGGTGAGTTTTCGTTAATACGCAGATCCCATAAGATGGATCGTGTCAGCTGACACGTTCTCCGTTTTAACGTCCGTGGGTAATTGCGTTTTTAGTGGCTTATTCTACATAAGTAGGGCTGCCAACTATCCTTAGCTATGAGGTGCCATATTGAGGATAAAAAAGTGCCAAAATGTGCCAAATAGAAAAATAAAAGTGCCAAAATTGGTGCCATCCTTTTTAATCCCTTCCATTTAGCAATAAAATAAGAACCACATTTCTTTTTCTAGTTGAATCATCTTTAAAAATTAGAAAATTTTAGTTGAGAAAAAGAAGTACACGCGAAGGATTTCAGAAAAGTTTATTGAAATATTACTATTTTTAAAAAGTGCCATTTTGGCACTAAGTGCCAAATTCAAAAATTAAGTGCCATTTGATTTAAAATAGGGCCAAAAATGGCACGGTTTGAGCCAAGTTGGCAGCCCTGTACCTAAGGTTGGATATCCTTTGTTTTTTCTTGTGCAAGTTGAATGTTTTTCTATAAAAAACAATCTTTTAAATCGCGGATATCGGAGTAGCACGTTCAGTTTTTGCAATACTAAAATTTGTTCCACTTTGATGGGTTTTTAGTGTCCTATTTTCGCATTCTGATGCTGGAGGGAGGATCTGAAATACTTCAGCAAAATGTATGGAGAAAATAAGGCATCTGATATACATATGATATACTTCTGTATATCACTATAGATACATTATAAATATTATTTATTGTATTATATTATATATCGTATGCAAATGTAACAATGTTTTGCTTTGAAACTTAAAGATTACCGAGTCCGGAAGTTTGGTTGTAACTGGAAGTATACATGAAATCGAAAATCCAGTAATACCGAAAGTCTACGACTTCAATAATAAATCAGACTTTCCGATGCTATCTAAGAAAGACTTCTACAAAGAGCTCAGACTAAGAGGGTATCATTACAATGGTGCTTTTCGTGCTGTCAACGTAGCTCGTGGCGACGGATTATTTGGTAGAGTGGAGTGGAATTATAATTGGGTCACTTTTATGGATGCAATGCTACAAATCCAAATTTTATGCACTGATTCCCGCACTTTGCTTATTCCAACAAAAATTAGAAAATTACGCATTTATGGACTACACCATTTCGACCTCATGACAAAAATGAGTTCGGAAAATCGCGTTTTTGATGTCTACGTTGAGCCAAAATATGATCGCATTGTTGCTGGTGGTATTGAATTGATTGGACTTCATGCAAGCCCTGTACAGCGACGAAAATCCCCTGGAATTCCTGTGCTAGAAAAATATGAATTTACGCCGCACTTTACAACACGCGCTTTTAGTACAACAAATGCAGTTCGCATGTGTGTACAGTTAGCTCTAGAAAACAGTCCTTCGATAAAAATGAAAGTTGTGGAAATAGGGGCGAATGGCTATAAACCAATCATATCTAAATTTGTTGAAGGATTAGAGGATTTGCCACTGGTTACGGGCGATTTCTTGTTTTTCACAGATCAAAAGAATGACGAAATACCAGGAGTTCATATAGAAACCGCAAAATTTACAAATCAAACGAATTGCAATTTTATCATCGCTAATAACCTTTCCAAAGAAAATAATTACAGTTTGGTTAACGCAGCTTACAAAAGTTTATTAGAAAATGGCTACCTAATTTCTAAAGAAAAAGCTCCATTGGCCTTAGAAAGCCTTAAGATTTTCGAAAATTTTAATTTAATTGCAGATATGGCTTTGGTTAGTGAAGAACGCATATTATTACTCCAAAAGGTCGTTAAGAAACTCACATTAGAACCAGTGGTTTTAAAAGTTTCTGAAGAAGATATTGAGTTTGAATGGATTACTCAGGTTCAAACTGCCTTATCTAACAAAACACCAGTAATCCTATACTCCTTCAACGAAAGTACAAATGGCCTTATTGGACTTGTAAATTGCTTACGAAAGGAGCCAGAGGGAAGCCTCATAACTTGCTTTTACATAGATGATAAGAGCGCGCCTCTTTTTGATCTGAAAGATCCATTCTATAATCATCAATTCGTTTTAGGCCTTGCCATAAACGTATACCACAAGGTACGCAATGCAAACCGCGCAATATAATTAATTAAATACTTAGGTATATTAAATATATTCCATTCACTAACTGCTTTTTTATTTTAATAGGGTCAATGGGGTTCTTACAGACATTTAAAGTTGCCCTGTGAATTTTGTCCAAGGCCAATATCAGGACATATTTATGGAAATGTTATGCAACGAGGTGACTTGTCTACTTTGCGTTGGTTGGAGGGCCCTTTAGACATCAATAGCTGTTCGGTTCGGATAGTGTTCTCTTCCCTTAACTTCAGAGATGTTATGCTAGCAACGGGCCGATTGGCTGTTGAATTATATGGTAGTAGCCGTCTGGATCAGTTGTGCGTTCTGGGCTTAGAATTTTCTGGAATAAACACAAAGACTGGTAAGCGCGTTATGAGTATGGTAGCCAAAGCCGGTGTCGCATCTTTCATCGAAAGACCATCAAAATTTATTTGGGATGTTCCTGATCACTGGACTCTACAAGAAGCTGCCACAGTGCCAGTTGTTTACATTACCGTATATTATGCGTTCTTCATGACTGCAGATATACGAAAGGGTAAAAGTATTCTTATTCATGCTGGAACAGGTGGAATTGGCCTTGCAGCCATAAGGGTCGCTTTGGCTTACAAGCTTGAAGTTTTTACCACATGCAGTACCACACAAAAGAAACAATTTTTATTGCAAACTTTCCCCGAATTAAAAGGTATTAATTAACACTTATAGTATTTAGATTCACATATACATATGGTACTAATAATATAATCTCTGAAAATTTTTAGAATGTCACATTGGCAACTCTCGAGATACATCATTTGAAATGATGATACAACGTGAAACCAACGGCAAGGGCGTTGACTTTGTACTCAACTCATTAGCTGAAGACAAATTATTGGCGTCAGTTCGTTGTTTGGGATACGGCGGGCATTTCTTAGAAATCGGAAAATTCGATATGTCTAATGATACAAAACTTGGAATGAGTTGTTTTCTCAAAGAGATAACTTTTCATGCAGTCCTGGCCGATAGGCTGGAATTCGCCCTAGATAAAGAAATTAATGCAAGTTTAATTCGGTTAGATTTATGCATGTAATCGCTAAATTTAATAATCCATTTACAGTATTTAAAACATATAATTGATGTTGATATCGAAAAAGGTATTATTCAGCCGCTGCCATCGACAGTTTTTCCTGCTGAGGATATTGAACAAGCATTTAGACACCTTATTGGAGGAAAACATATTGGCAAAGTCTTAATTAAAGTCCGTGAGGATCCGGAATCGCTAGTAACGTTGCCAGTCAGAGTTTTACATCAAGTTTATTTTAAAGCCGATCTAAGCTATATAATACCTGGAGGTCTAGGTGGATTCGGCTTAGAATTAGCTGATTGGATGGCCATACGAGGAGCACGAAAAATCATTCTAAGCTCAAGACGGGGTTTATCAAAGGATTACCAGGCTTATAGGATAGCGTATGTATTAAAAAATATTACTCCATGCTCTACATTTCCTTTAGTAATTTTATTTTTAACAACGGTTATTACTTCTTAGATTATGGAAAACGTACGGCTGTGAAGTTATTGTTAGTATGTTTGATATTTGTACCATTGAGGGTTGCATAGCATTATTAAATCAAGCTAAGCAATATGCACCTATTGGAGGAATATTCAATTTAGCTGTGGTTTTACGAGATGGTATATTTCCAAATCAAACAAAAGAAAAATTTGTGGAAAGCTTTGCTCCCAAAGCCATTGCCACAAAATATTTAGACCAGTTAACCCGTTCTGATTGCCCCCATCTAGAACATTTTGTTGTATTTTCAAGTGTTTCATGTGGCCGAGGCAATGCCGGGCAAACCAATTACGGAATGGCCAATTCAATTATGGAGCGTATTGTAGAGGACCGTGTTAAGCATGGCTATCCTGGAAAAGCAATACAGTGGGGAGCAGTTGGGGAAGTTGGTTTGGTCGCTGACATGGCTGAAGATAAAATAGACATGGAGATTGGTGGGACTTTACAGCAACGTATCTCATCCTGCCTGTGTGAGTTGGACATACTGTTATCTGTACAAGAACCAATCATTTCAAGTATGGTAGTTGCTGAAAAGCGAGTCGGGCGGATGGGAAATGAAAGTGTTCTCGAAACTGTTATGAACATTATGGGCATTCGCGATTTAAAATCTGTTTCCCTGGGAACAACACTCTCAGAAATGGGAATGGATTCTTTAATGGCTGTTGAAATAAAACAAACTTTAGAAAGAGATTTTGATCTCACATTGACGCCACAAGATTTGCGTGCGCTAACATTCCAAAAGTTGCAAGAATATGCGGATGCTCGAGAAAAAGAATCCTCAGATGTAAAAATGATTTTTACATCTGATAGTAACATTCTTGGAATGGAGATTTTGCTAAGAAATCTGGGAGATGAATCACGTTGTAATGAAATTATGATACCTCTTAAGACAGCTGCAAATACTACAAAACAATCAATGCCACCAAATATAATAATTCCAGGATTAGAAGGCACAGCCGGCCAAGCATGGTACAACATGGGAGAACTTATAAACAATCGCTGTTATGTTCTACAACTTCACAAATTCGCAGATTGCTCCACAGTTAAAGAGGTTGCAGAAGCTTGCTTTGATGTAAGTACATACATACATATTTTATTTGATAGCAGTAGTAACAAAGAGTTCTATGCCATAGTTTTTAACTTCTTTATTTTTTCTCATTGAACCATTTTACAGCACGTTAAAGCAGAATTAAAAGCTACAGAGCCTTTCTACATCATTGGATATTCATATGGATCCTTTATTGCTCTACAACTGGCTGCAATGCTAGAAAAATCTGGCTATCGAGGCCAACTCTTACTCATCGATGGAGCTCCACATTTCCTAAAAAAACTAACACTTGCCCATCTTGGAGAAGACTTCACTGATAGTAATTTATATAATTTACTTCTTTCCAGTATTGTTAAACAAATATTCCCAGACGAGATTCAAGAATCGGTTGTTTTGGAATTTAGCAAACTTGATCAATTAAATGATAAAATGACTAGATTTATGGATTATGTAAATAAGCAAAGTTTATATAGCAATGAATACGCAGACAAAATGGTGCATGCAATGTTTCGACGTATAAGTATGGCTGCTAACTATAATTTGGATACAATTGACTTACTGACAACACCAATAGTCTTAATACGGCCTGCTGAAGTATCTTTACAAGACATAGAGGAGGACTATTGTCTATCAAAGATTACTACAGGAAAAGTAGTTCTCAAAGTTATTGAGGGAAATCATACCTCAATGTTGGATAACCCTATTTTACCTCAGATCATTAATGAAATGGATCCAGCTCTTCAGGAAGACAGAACGTTTGAAGAGTACATACGTAATGTAAAACCTGTTGTTCCTTTGGTTTAAAATAGTTTTAAGTTTTATTTACATTTGTAAATGTAGGGAGGTATGTATATGTTCACAGTGCTTTGAATAATTTGTTCATAAGACAATTTAATATGTCCTTAATGAAAAGAAAAAAATATTATTAACTCGCGGCATAGAGTTCATTACACTTTTTCGCTGGGAAATATTAATAAATTTATAAATAATATAATAATAATAAGTAAATAATAATAAAATTTAGCCTGGCATCCTACACGAACAAAATTTGTGATAAAAGCATGTTATATCTTAGTATTGATTGTTGCAAGATGTCGGTAAATTTCGGATTTATTCTTCTTATTCTTCTTATCAGGCCCCACAATAGTTATTCGACTTATCCTTTGCCAATTTCTGCAAGGGCCGTTCGTAGGCTCTCTAGTTTTCGTTGACCACTCATAGGCAGGGCCGTTGTTGTTGTTGTTGTTGTAGCGGCTACAACAACCCCGCCCAGATCGGTTGGTATCTCAGTCGTTGTCGTCAAGTTCCACTAACGGCAACCCTAGGAAGCGTGCAGCTTCTGCGGGGTTTGCCCATAAGGACAAGGTCGTTAGGGATGTCGGGTTTGCCGGGCATGCGAAGAGATGTTTCGAGTCATGTGGGGTCTCTCCGCATGCCGGACATTCATTCGGCACATCCTCATTCAACCTACTCAGGTAGGAGTTCAACCTGCTGCAGTAGCCGGAGCGAAGTTGTGCAAGTGTTGTGCGTGTCTCCCGAGGCAGATGAAGCTCCGTCTCGTCTATGTCCGGGGGTGGTATGCCTAGAACGGCATTCACAGGTCTAGAGTCTACATAACTCGAGACTGAGTCCCTGTGAATGCCGTTCAGGGCCTGTCTGTACGCTGTCGGGTCCAGAGGTTGCTTAATGAACCTCTGGACTTCGTCCGTCAGTTCATATAGATGCCTCCTGACGTGCCTAGGCGAGGGCTCCTCTGCAAGCAGCTGTCTGCTTGGGTGGCCACTTCTGTGGCTCCCGATCAGGAACTGCTTGCAGAGCATTATATTATGCTCCTTTACAGGGAGCATTTGCGCCTCGCCGTGCAGGTGGTGTTCAGGCGACATCAAGAGGCATCCTGTCGCTGTCCTGAGTGCGGTGTTTTGTACAGTCTGTAGCTTCGTCCACTGCGTCCTACTAGTCCCTGGCGACCACACTGGCGCTGCGTAGTTCAAAACCGGCCGGCCTATTGCCTTGTATGTTGCCAGCAACGTTTCTTTGTCTTTGCCCCAAGTACTGCCGGCTAGCGACTTGAGGACCTTGTTGCGGCTCTGTACTTTATTGACAATAGCGGTTGAGTGCGCAGAGAAGGAGAGCAGGCTGTCGAATGTTACTCCGAGTATTTTGGGGTTATTCACCGTCGGAATTGGTGTGTCATCGACGTGAATCCCCAGCGGTAGCCTGACCTCCTTCGTCCAGGTTGTGAACAGGGTCGCGGAGGATTTCGTAGGGGAGAGGGCTAGACACTTTGCAGTGAAGAAGCGAGAAAGTTCGGAGAGATAGCCGTTTACTTTCGAACACAGGTCATCAATTCCATTCCCAGTCGCCATAATCGAGCAATCGTCGGCATAGGAGACAATCGAGACTCCCTCTGGTGGTTGAGGGAGCTTTGAAATATAAAAGTTAAACAGTAGCGGGGAAAGGACACCACCCTGAGGAACCCCCTGTTTTATTTTTCGCTGCTTACTCGTTTTGTCTCTAAACATTACCGACGAATGTCGACCACTCAGATAATTTGCCGACCACCGTTTGAGCCTCTGTGGGAGAGAGGAGGCCTCTATATCTTCTAGTAGCGTGGAATGGCAGACGGTGTCAAACGCCTTTGACAAGTCCAACGCTACTAGAATCGTTCTCTCACAGGGACGGTTACGGTTAAGGCCACGAGTTATCTGAGTGTTTATGGCGTTAAGTGCTGTTGTTGTACTGTGCACTTTACGGAAACCATGCTGATGCTTCGCTGGGGTCAGGTGATTTGTGAAGTACGGGAGTAGCAAGGCCTCGAGTGTCTTCGCTACCGGGGAAAGGAGTGTAATCGGACGATACGAATCTCCTTTGTTTGCAGGTTTCCCCGGTTTGAGCAGTGGGACCACTCTCCCCACCTTCCAGATGTCTGGGATGATGAGAGTGGCCATTGACAAATTGAGGACCTCCGTTAGGTACGCTACCCCCGCAGGACCCAAATTTTTCAGCATCAGCATGCATATTCCGTCGGGACCCATGGCTTTGGAGGCTTTCGCCTTCCCGATGGCCACCTGAACTTCACCGCAAGTGAAAGCAAGGGGGGCACAAGTTGTTGGCAGTTTGTGCAGCCTTCTGGTCACTCGACGCTTGGCTTTGTCCACCGGAGGATGCAGTATGAACTGCCGGCTAAAATAGCTCGCGCATCGCTCCGGGTCCGACGAAGCATGGTCGCCGAAGGAAATTTCGACTCTGTCGTCGTGCTTCGTCGGATTAGACAATGACCTCACGGTTGACCAAAGCTTGCTCACACCAGAGGTGAAGTTGCAAGTCTTCAGATGCTCCTCCCACTTCTTCCGCTTATGTACGTTTACAAGTTGCCGAATCTCCGCGTTGAGATCCCTGATACGGGGATCTCCGGGATCGGCCTGACGAAGGCTATCACGCTCATCGGCTAGAACAGCCGCTTCGGCAGGGAAGTTTGGACGTGGGTCCGATATACATCCTGCCGGTATGAAGCGAGCTGCAGCAGCAGTGATAGCCCTGCGGAACTTACGTTCACCGAGATGGACGTCGGTTGGTGTGGGGAGCGCTGCGAAGGTGTTTTCGGTAAACTCCGCGTAACCTTTCCAATCAGCTTTAGAAAAGTTGATATAGGTCCGGTGTTTGGCGGAGGCAAAGTCGGTTGGTTTATCAATCGAGATGACTATGGGTAGATGGTCTGATGCTAGAGTCAGCATAGGTCGCCACGTTATGCTGTTTATCAGACCAGCGCTGACTATTGTGATGTCTGGCGAGCTACTGCAGTTACCCATAATCCTGGTGGGTGCGTCGTCGTTCATTGTGCAGAATGTCGAATCGTCTATCTGCTCAGCCAAGTCTGTTCCCCTACGATCGTTTGACAGGCTTGAGTGCCAAAGATCGTGGTGCGCATTAAAGTCACCTACTACCATACGGTTTTCACCTCTGAGGAGCGCACCTATATCAGGGTGATATCCTGCCGGGCAGCAGGTGACAGGGGGTATGTATATATTAAATATTTCGAGCTCGACATCGCCTGACCGGATAGCGATGCCCTGACATTCTAGGGTGGTATCCCTGCGGTCGATGTCTGCTTCGATAAGACGATACTGCACGGTGTGGTGCGTGATGAACGCTAAGCCACCACCATTATCTCGCTCGCGATCTCGACGGTGCACGTTGTACCCGGCACAATTCAACAAAGTTGAATTGCTGTGCAACTTCGTCTCTTGGACCGCAGCTATTAATATACCATGCCGACACATGAAGGCGGTTATCTCCTCAATCTTGCTCTGTAGCCCGTTACAGTTGAATTGGAGGAGCTTCATGTGGTTCGGGAGACGTGTCGTGATGTGGGGTGTGAGTGAGGTGTATGTTCTTGCCGCCGTTGGCTGTGTGTGCTGCTGAGGTGATTGCCGCCCTGTGGTGGTGGTGGGGGGCGTCGCAATTGAAGTCTGCGACCGAGCAGCGCAACACGGGCCCTCGAAGTTCCCCGTCCAATCTCGCGTGGTACGCAGACCTGAACATGCCCTAAAGTGGCACCAGCCAAGGCAGGTGTTGCACTTGACTGATGTCACATTACGGAATATTCTGGTCTGACATACCGTGCAGATTGTAGGGGGAACCAGGAGTTGTTGGCGGCGGCGTGTGGGTGGTGGTGCGGTTGTGTGTGTTATGTGGTCTGTGGTGGCTGTGGTATGTTGTTGTGTTGTGGCGACTGTGTGTGGTTGCTGTGTGAGTGTGTGGGGCTGCACGGGCGGACTATGGGTTGCCGTGGAGGCTGCTCTATTTGAGCAACAGGGGGCCACGTACGACGTGGTCCACTGTCTGTGTGTCCGTAGTCCCGAGCAGACCCTGAGGTGACTCCACCCCTCGCAGGCATTACACTTGACTGAGGTGGAGTTGTGGTGTAAACGTCTTCGGCATACACAGCAGGTGTATATTTCTGGCCCAGGGTTTGACTCGATGCCAGCCCTGAGTAGGAGAATGCGTAGTGAATGTTGCCCTATGGACGGACAACTTCTGAGATACTTCGCCGACCTAAACGGGGTTAGATCGCCGAAACAACAGCCCTTGGTCGGGTGAAACCCGAGTCATTCCGGTACGTAGAACCGGCTGTCATGGGAATGAAGGCAGGGCCGTCGAGAGTGTTACTGTTGTCAGTATAATTTTTCTTAAGTTTTTCTTTACATAAATATATGTACATTAGGGCGGGTCAATTTTTTGTAGGAGGATTCAGCGTTTAATTCTAAGCAAATTTTCCGAAGAAACCATGAGTTAAAATCAATTTGGAGTTTGCCAAATTGCGAAAATAAGTTTCCAAGAAAATATGAATATTTTCACTGTTGCGCCCTCTGTTTAAATTTAAGAAAAAGATAAGTGCCGAAAAGAATTCCTCAGACCGAAAAATCGCTTATAGTATGTTTTTATACAAAATTTTTGCACTTTTTTACGACACTACGGACAAATTTTAAGAAACCTATTTTTGCAATTTGGCAAACTCCAAACTTATTTTAGACACATGGTTTCTTCCGCAATGTTTCTTAGAATTACACATAGACTCCTTCTATTCTATACTCGCATAGTCGACAAAATCTCTCATACAAATTGACCCGCCCTAATATATATGTATGTACATTAGAGCGGGTCGAAAACCACAAAATGTTTGAAACGAAAATTTTATAAGTCATGTAGGTGCTATTTTAATCCTTTATTCCTGAAAATAAATCGTGGTTCTCTGCGACAATATCCTGAGCTTGAAAATTTTAAAATAAAAGTAGGAATACCAATTTTTCAAATTTTTCAACGACTTGTGTAGATCAAATCCGGAACTTATAAAATCATAAAATCATAAAAAATTAAATTGGACAAAATAAAAGTAAGAAACATCAATATTTTAGTAAATTAAAAAATTAACTAGGAAATAAAGATTTATTGATTAAAATATTGATGTTACTTACTTTTAGTTTCCACAGTTTATTTTTTTATAATTTTATGATAGGAAATAAGTTCCGGATTTAATCTACACAAGACGTTGTAAACTTTTGAAAAATTGGTATTCCCACTCCAATTTTCAATTTTTCAAGCTCATTCCGCAGACTGAAGATA